CCAGAGCTTGTGATAAGGAGCCATCTGCTTTAAACGGTTTCTCATTCCTACTCCCCCCCCTCCTTTTACAATGGCAGAACCGCAGCATGTAAAAAGCCATTTTTAAAACTAGCCATCTAATAATCTATTATAAAATCTTGCAAGGATTTTGACACACATCCTTTTCAGTATTTCAATGACTACGAAGTTGACTTTCAAACTGTCTCCAGAACCAAGTAAAGGTAACAGTCAGTTGCATTCCTGGCCACAGAGTGTTTCTTATTTTTTTCTTTTATTTCAGTTAAAATGATGAATGCGACTAACCTTTGCACGATCAGGGTCTACATCATGAATTCTTCTTGTACCACATGTCTTGAAATCAGAGTTTATCTTGATCATGTAAATAAAGCAAAGTCCAATAACAACTAGGATGATAGGTCTAAAAGTGTAAAGACAAGATCTTTAAGTATTCATTACATCACCACTCCTTATCACAAAGTCCAGATAGAGTAGTAACTAGATAAAAGTGTTCCAGCTGAAAAAAGAAAAAAAAAAGGACAAGAATTCTAGGTTTATTAAGGTCAAGGTACTTTCTAGATGAACTGGAACAGTAATGACAGCACTACAAACTCAATCTAGATATAAGAAGAAATTGGGAAAACGTTCAATATAATCCCCCCAAAGTTCCAAACCCAACTTAGGGGAATTTGAAGCTGAGTTTCTGACTTTCTATGATTGGGACAAGCCAGAACTCATAACACAAAAATGAAATGTGGTTTGCGACTCTTGCTTCAGAGCACCACAAGCCACGGAACATGTGGCCCCTCGTTAGCAGAGGTCCTTTAATTAGCTGGAGAGGTCAAGCGAGAAAAATGTGTTGCCTGTACTTCCGCCACAGTCTATTCAAAGTAAGTCAGTATTGTCTGGAAATTTAGCATGCTGATGCAATTCCAACTAAAATTACACAGGAATGTTCTGCTAGAGCAGCGTATGCATTCAATCTGGAAACATCCATTTACTTTTTAAGAAAGGGGGGGAGGATAAGGTATGATTAAGTGATCAGAAACAGCTGCAATGATACTTTACGTCTAAAAATAATCAGAATGTTAGTTTGTAAAGTCACTGTCTGCTATAATCCAAAAATAAAGGAAAAGCACTTATTCCTATATTCTGGTCCTGTCAATGTTTTTGCTCAAGCCGAGTTTTTTAAGCAAATGCTTTTAAAGCAAATCTATACTTTGGCGAAATGTACAGTAAACAGCAATTTTCATCTTCACTAATAGAGACACTTACTTGAAAGTAGCTGTTAAAAACCCAGTTGGTCTTTTCATCTTCATATGCAAACCAGTTTAAAGCATGGCAGGGAAGACCAGCAAGCTCCTCTTCGGGTGAACAGACTTATCTTCTCTCAGCATTGCTTGCAAAAAAAAAAAAACTTTTCTGTTAAAATGGTTTATATTTAGGATTTCAAAAGAAATTCCAAGCCTAGACAGTAAACGTCCATGCAACACAAAGATATGACTTGCTTATGCTGGTCTTTGACTGTAATAAAGATAGGACTGACTTGCTCAATTTCTAAGAACTGCCAATTCTTCTTAATATGGCATAGGCCTGAATTTTTATGATCCTCCCCGGAAGTTGTTGGCTCCAGGCAACCCAGTGATAAAAAACAGCAGAAGATCAAAGGTCAGCTTCTGCCATCTCAGTTAAAATGGGGAAAGGCACCTTTACTGATCTGATGCCAGGCTACCTCCTGGCCCCAAAAACTACCTATTATTTTACAAAAGTGAGGAAAAAGGATCCAATCACAACTCCTAAAGGAAAAACTTCATTGTCAAATACAGACAAGAAGAAAGAAATGTTCACCGGTGAACAAATGTAGTTTTAGTATTAAATTTAGCTAAGCATTAAAAATAATAAGGACAAATACACTAACAGGGACAAACAGATGATGACAAAGACAATTTATGGAACCCCCAAGAAGGAAAAGAAAAAGGGGTTTGAAACTATTTAGGAGAAATAATAAGATAACAAGATCAACTGAAATGTTCACAGCTTTGGAGCATTTTCTCTACAATGAAAACCTAAAGATTAAGTTTAAAAAATCAAATCAAAACAAAACTCTAAATGTCTTCAAGGGGAGAGGCCAATTACTTATTTATTTTACAAAACTGTATGCCACCCACTCCACAGTGCCTATTGCTTATCAAAAAGAATGACATTTTAAAAAATGTGTGACATGGTGAAATGAGGACAATCTGTTCTCCCCTTCAAGAGATTAGATTGAGATCCTCCTTAATAATTTGGCAAAAAAGCAACAGCCAGGAAGAAAAACTGAGTTAATGTAAAGAGTTACTTTATTCTTTACATTAAATTATTTAAATTGATTATTTCAATTATATAAAGACTAAAACATGTATTATTTAAACTGGCGAACAATCAAAAAGCAAAGTGTAATTTTAAAGTCAACCCTGGTTCTAAAAAACATTTTGTCTTCCAGCTTACTGGCAGTCATCAAAGGAGGAAAGCAACTGGATGACGCACCAAACAGACCTGATGCTGAGGGTCCAGCCCCTGGCATCGGCAGTGAGGCAAACCCCGCCATTCCTGACTCTAGCCAAAACTTGCCTGAGCCATGAAAGCTGCTGCTCCAGAATGGAAAGCCAGAGGATAAAGTAAAAGAAAAAAAGAAAAAGTGTTATCTTGTAATGTGATGATTTACCAGGAAGTTACCGCTCCTGAACAGCCTGTCTTCTGAAGTCAGAGTTGGTTGGGGAAATGTGCACCTGGATAGATGGAAAGGGGGAATTTCCAGCATCTGAGGTCCATCTGAATGGATTGGAACCACCTTTATGACAGACCCCCAAACTTGTATCTTTGGGTCTTGCCTCCCCGGAAGTCTTGGCCTTACTTAGATATGACAAATGCCTCATTTTCTGACTCATAACCCACCATGGCTAATGCTGGATTAGACTGGGACTACAATCCTGCTTTCCGACTCCAATTGTGAGTAAAAGTTTAAGCTCAGCTGCTGGAGACTTCATGGACACATCCATGCAGCCTTCTGGACAAGAAGTAGCTTTCTACTGCCACTTGGACTTCATTTTTTTTCTTTTTACTTCCTAGTCGAGCCTACAGTCCCGGGATTTCCGCCCAAGCACTAACCAGATCTGACTCAACAGTAAATGCCCTGCCCCATTTATGCTCTTGGACTGTTAACAACTTTGCTAAAGCTGTCAGGCAAAAATACTTATTACCAAAAGCCCATAAAACAAAAGAAGTAGAACATGATATCTCAGCATATTTAATTACTGTATCTATTACAAGCTCTGAACTGAATTACCATAGATAATAAGCATAGTGGACTTTATTCAGCTTGCCAAATCACAAGTTCAAGTTATGAGCAAATTATCATTAGTTATCAACCTTTAGTGAAGGGATTATTTCCCCATTTTAAACTGTGACATTAATTTAGGACCTGTTGATCACGGCCCTTTATGTCAATAAAACCAATAATGTGGGGAGACCAAAGCAGGCCTCAGCGTAGAACAAAAATGAAAGGGGAGTTCGATTTACATGAATTATGTTCCTGCAGCAGTAGAAAACTACGATTCGTCAGGAAGCTTCCATGACTATCTTCCTGAAGTGCCCACATCACCTACTGTGCTACAGTCAAGAGTTTTCTAATTTCCTTCTACAGCAGATTTCACGGGGGTAGATGGGAGGGTATTCAAAAATCAGCAGTTTAAGAGCACGTGCTAGCTACAAACATGATCCTTTAGTTGGCCTTGAGTTCTGTAAAACATTCTGGCCAACACAGAACATACTTAACAGAAGACCGTTTTGCTTAAATAGTGGCGTTATTCCTAATTTTAAGTGATACAATGTGGAGGCCATGCGCAATTTTTTCTGCCTTGCCTTTTATGCAACTTTAGACAAATGAGTCAGTTATTCTGTAGCAATAGGGACAGAGAAGGAAATGAACATGTGAACACCAGGAACTTGTTACCAACTTGCTGAGATTCTTAGAAACCATAAGCAGCAAATGGCTTTTTTGTATTCAGCTACAGATACAAAAGTCCTATTCAGTATAAAATTTCAGTATAAAAATGGTTTTTATCTGAAAACATTTCACGCAACAATGAGCACATGTCTGCATGTCTCAAGTTGTGTCAGCTTATTCAGAACACAGCAGTACAGCTGGTTACTGGTTTATGCAACTTGGATTAAACTGTACCAGCCCCATGTTGTTTAAAAATGGCTAGCTAGAATCTTCCCTCATTCAGATTCACGCCTGTGAGTTAAGCCATTAGATTATCACATTTTTAAGATGGTGCATTACTAACAAGTAACTTGTCTAACTCAAAGTCTCACCACTTTTTCTGAGCCTCTGAAATACTTCAACAGATTATTTATACTTCACATCTATACAGCTCCTCTTTTAACGGTTTTTTTTTTCCTGCATGATGTAATTCTATTACATTCTGCCCTGGCTGTGAAGGATAAATTTCCTGTCTCTACTAAGGGGACAAGAGCTAAATAAATAAGTAAAAAATTGATATAATGTCTTCAAACTGTATCGAGCTGCCACCTGTTGATCCC